CATCATCATCATCCTCATCCTCATCATCCTCATCAGCATCATCATCAGCAGCATCATCATCATCATCATTATCATCATCATCATCATCATCATCATCATCATCAGCATCAGCATCAGCATCATCAACATCCTCATCCTCATCATCAGCAGCATCATCGTCATCATCATCATCAGCAGCAGCATCATCAGCAGCATCATCATCATCATCCTGTTCCTGCTCCTCCTCCTCATCATCCTCCTTGTTCTCCCCCCCTCTTCCTCCTCGTCATCCTCCTCCATTCCTTATCCTCACAAACAATCCATCCCTGTCGCAACCCTGGGCCAGTCGGAAGGGTGGGCTGGGCGTTTCGCCTGAGACTTCCTGACCATGTATGTTCCTGAAGCTTAGAAAATGGCAACAGCTTCACAGACGGAGGGCGGGCCACTTCCAAACTGTGGCTCTCGCCTTGGCGCCGCGCACATCTCGTTCGAAAAAACTGCAGAAGGTTCACGGATTGAGGGCGGGCCGTTTTCAGAATGTGGCTCTCGCCTGAGCGCCGCGCACACCCGTCTTTAAAAATTGCATGAACGTCAAAGGTTGAAGGCGGCTCCTTTTCAACATGTGGCTGTCGCCTTAGCGCCAGGCACATTCGCCTTAAAATGTGTAAGAGTCTTACGGGTTGAAGGCGGCTCCTTTTCAAAAAGTGGTTCTCTCCTTAGCGCCGTGCACTTTTCGTCACCAGAAGAAGTGTTTTCGAAGGGTTCAGGACTTCCAGGGCGCAGCAGTTATGCTGATTCGCGGCGGTGTGGTCCCAGGAACGGCGTGCTGGCACGATTCAGGACCGTGAAGACACAAGAAACAAGTTTACTCGTGGCGTTGGAAGCCTGAGAACGGTGCTTTGGAAGGCTTCAAGATCTTCAAACGGCTGTCTCCCAACGGGGCACCCTCCTCAGTGGAAATGAATCCTTGTAGAAGCCTATGAAGAGGGAGCTTGGAGGGAGGATGTATTCCAACATCGTCAATGAGTCTTGGGTCTACACTGGTCCTCCTCCTCCTCCTTACGCCAGTGCCCCCTGGCACGTCAAGGCGTGGAAGAATGCCAAAGTCTGTATGGTAGGGTTGTTGTGGAATTCCAACCAGGGACCGCCTCTCCCTCTACTCGCGAATTGTGGCGTAGATCCCCCCTGCTCACTGAGGCCACTTCCCTCGGGCCGGCTCGAGGATGGTGCACGTCCCGCACTGCCGCTAATGCCTAACTCCCCCCTCCACGCGTGCCCTCTCGAGGGTGCTGCACTCCCCGCATGGCAGCTAATGCCTGGACCCCCCTTCCACGCGTGTCCGCTCGAGGATGCTGCACTTCCCGCATGGCAGCTAATGCCTGAACCCTCGTTCCACGCGTGCCCGCTCCAGGACCGTGCGCCTCCCGCATTCACAGGCGCTGCTCCCAAGCGCTCCAGGGCCTCCCAAGAAACGATCCCTTGTTAAAAAACGATGGATATGCGTCCCGAGCTCCCAAGGTGGCCCATGCAGACAACCAAGGACACCCAGATGGCCAAAGATGTCTCGAAGACGGCCCAAGATGACCCCAACGCGGTCGGATATTGTTTCAAGTCGGCCCAAGATGCCTCCATGAGGGCCAAAAAATGGCCATAAGAGGACCTCCAACAGGGCCCGAAGAAACCACAATCATTGATTGCCAATGTTTTTTGCATGATTTAAACATTCTCGCCTTTTCGGTCTGCCGTCAGCTCAAGACGGCCCAAGAGGACTCCACGATGGCCTAAGAGGCATCCAAGATGGCCTGAAGGCGGCCCAAGAGGGCTTCCCGTGGGACCCAAGACGGCCTGAGAAGGCCCTTCGACGGTCCAAGGCGGCGCCAAGACGGCCCCCAGATACCCACCATTCAGCCAAGAGGGCCACAAGACAGTGCAATAAAGCCCGAAGTCCATGAGGGCCCCAAGGGACCCCCAGGACTGCCTCACAGGAGGCCAAGATAACCAAAAGACAGCCAAAGCGAGTCTCATCATCATCATCAACAACATCATCATCATCATCAGCAGCAGCATCATCAGCATCATCATCATCATCATCATCATCATCATCAACATCATCATCATCAGTATTATCATCATCATCATCAACAACAACAATCACATCATCATCAAACATCAGCAGCAGCATCAGCATCACCATCCTGATCATCATCAGCAGCAGAAGCATCAGCATCATCACCATCATCATCATCATCACCACCACCACCATCATCATCATCATCATCACAATCACAATCACCATCACCATCTCCATCACCGTCACCGTCGTCGCCGTCGTCATCATCACCATGATCATCCTCATTATCATCATCCTCAAACCCATAATCACCATCACCACCACCGTCATCGTCAGCATCATCAACGTCCTAGTCGTCGTCATCCTCATCAACACACTCATCATCACCATCATCACCATCAGCACCATCAATCGCATCAAAAGCATCATCATCATCATCAGCATCATCATCATCATCATCATCATCAGCATTGCCCTCACCATCACAATCATTGTCGTCATCATCGTCGTCCTGATCCTCATCCTCATCCTCATCATCATAATCATCATCACGCCCATCATATTCATAATCGTCAGCATCCTCAACACGGCGCTCCCAAACCTGGAAACAAGACGTGTCACACGTGACGGCTTCCCGTGCCCCCTCGAACAATCGCCACCAAGAATGTTGGGCTGACACGGTGGCGGGACTTGCCGCAGGCAGCCAGATAACTCCTCCCTGCCGCACCCCGAGACTTGTCGGTAGGGCGGGCCGGGCGTTTCGGCTGAGACTTCCTCACTATGTATGATCCTTAGGTTGAAAATGTTCAACAGCTCCACAGATGGAGGGCGGGTGGTTTTCAAAATGTGGCTCCCGCCTTTGCGCCGCGCACATACGTCTTCAAAGTTTGCAGGTGTTTCACGGATGGAGGGCGGGCCGTTTTCAAAATGTGGCAATCGCCTTGCCGCCGCGCACGTTTGTCTTTTCAAAGCTTGCAAGATGGAGGGCAGCAACGTTGCAAAATGTGGCTCTCGCCTTAGCGCCGCTCACATTCGCCTTGAAAATTTCACCGTTGGAAGGCGGTCCCTTTTCAAACGTCCAGACGCAACAATAACGTTGACTCGCGTCGTTGAAGTCCCAGGACTGGTTTTCTGGCACGGTTCAGGAGTTTCAAACGGTTGTCTTCCACCGGGACACTTCCCTCAGTGAAAATGAACCCTTGCAGGGACCTATGGAGAGGTAATTTGGAGGAAGGGCTGATTGCAACATCGTTGATGCCCCTTGGGTTTACATTGGTCCTCCTCCTCGTCCTCCTCCTCCTCTTCCTCCTACTGCTCCTGCTTGCTCTCTTGCTCAGGCGATGTGCTGCTTCCTTCCCCCGACACTCCGCGCCACCTTTCTCTTCCCACTGGCGCCCCCTCCTTGAAGGCACAGAGGAGTATGCGAGAGACTTCCCGCCGAGCAACACCTTGACGAGCTGTGTTGCCAGAATCGACGGGGGCCACCGAGAGCCAACCAAAAAACCGTAGAAGAAGCACGCTGGTGGCAGCAAAGGTGCTGATCACGGTCGCGATTCTGATGATATGGCGATGGCTATGACGGTGTCCCTGCCTCGCAACAAACCGTGGCTCGCGCGCGGGAGACGTGGCAGCGTTGACAACAAGGGCGTGCGAGGCATGCCGCCGCAGCAAGTTGTGGAGCGCCATAGGACGGGCGATAACGATGGCCATGACAATAACGATGACGATAACGATGACGATGACGGTGCTGATGATGCTGATGTTGGATGGTCATGATAGTGTTGATGGCAGTGATGATCATGATCATGATGGTGATGATGATGATGGTGATGATGGTGATGATGGTCGTTCCCATAAGGATGGTGATGCTGCTGATGCTGATAGCGATGATGATGAAGATGACGATGGCAACGGCAATGATGGAGATGATGAACAAGACAATTAATATGAGACTGACTAATGAAGATGACGACGACGATCATGAGGATGATGATGATGACGATGACGGTGACGATGGTGGTGATGATAATAACGATGATGAGGACGACGAGGAACATGAGCATTTGGGGACGAAAAGCGGATGGTCTTACGACAAGTCCTTATTTGCAGTCAACGCTGAAATGGAAAAAGATGTGCCACAAACCATGGTCGCCATGGGCTGACCAGCACCGTAGTCCCCTCGTCCACTTTGCAGGGTCATAATGTGTGAGGAAGTCGCTGGCAAAACGGAGCTTTTGAGCTGCTAACTTCTGAAGCGGCCTCAGGCGAAACTGCCTGTGTGTCATAAGTTGTAAGGAAGTCTCAGGCGAAACGGCTTCTGTGGCCATGAATTGTGAAGCATCTCAAGCGAACAGCTTCTGCGGTCACGAAGAATAAAGAAATCTCAAA